CCTAGAGTTCTTGTGCCTACAACAGAACAACATCGCTGGCTAAGAGGCTTCATGTGGGTGGGACAACGAATCTGAAACTGAACTGATAGGCAATGAAAGGAGTTCTTAAAGAGTTCAGAAAACACATCCATGAGAACAAAGGTACAGAGGGGAAAGAAAAAAGAACTCCAACAAAAGCTTTTCAAAATACATTTAAACTTGCAGAGCTAATCCCTTGGGGGGATCTGACATATTAAACTTCTACAGGTAAACATAGGCTATTTTCTGCACAGAAATAAGCAATGATCATGTTATAATTTAATAGTCAAATATAGCCATAGTTAAAATATAGCCATAGTTATAGTCTTCAATAATAAGCTATGAAGTATTGTGTTGATACTGTTCTCTTTTGTTGATCAAAGTTAAAAAAGTTCATTCAAAGAGTGTTTTAGAGATCAAAAAATCCACCTTAGCCACAGTTAAAAACAGTTTGCGCTGTATAGGTCCTGTAACTGCAAAAGGATCCTGCAAAAAGAACACTGATTATAGAATAGAAAGTTATTGGGTTTACAGCTCAAAGTTCATTAATCTATGTAATGTTTGTATGTTGAGTACAATCAGGGCAACACCTAATAACTTATAAGTAATAGTTTCACTTAGGTAAAGAAAACAAACCATTAGTGAGTTGGATCTATTTTATCTGATTTTGCCAATTACTATATTACATTATTCCAATCCAGAAGAATATTAATGGAAAATATGAACGGCTGGGCATGCTTTTCAAGAAAAAACTAAACAGAAACAGCTCCCAAAATTGGTTATGGGAGTACTAACTGTTGAAATGAGATTAGCTACTATGCCCCCCAAAAGTACATCTCTGCTGTGTTAAGTTGCACAGAGCAGGATAAACATTCCAGAAAGTTCTAATTACCTTAATGCTGAACTTTCATTTAACCATATTTCTGATCCCAATATATCTGCCTTCAAATCCCAGTCCTCTGAATTCTGTCTGTACACAGACAACAAAGAAATCACGTTGCAAGAATCTGCTGGAAGAAAATAAAACAGATTCTTCAGTCCCTTACTGCAAAACACATTCATCAGACTTCTTATAATTGTTTTCTGAACTATTCCCACCTTGTTAACATCTGTGCTAAAAAGAGTGGATGCCAGACTTGGACATAGAGTGGCTTGCTTAATGCTTTATTCAGTAGTAAGCATGCTGTTCTTTCCTTGATGCTTTTTGGCACATGCATCCATTTTCAAGGCTACATCCAAGTCCATAGTGAGAGTGGGTGGCCTGGGGCTAGCTAAAGGAAAAAGTTGCATCCTCCAATCCCCCCTATTCTCATTTCTCTTTGCTTGAACAGTTTGAGACTAGCACAAACTGTTTCCCCCAGAGTCAAGGAAGGAGGGAGGGGGAGATGGAGAAGTGAGGTTGGATGCACAGAAGTACGTGCTTGGGCTCAGTAGTTAGGCTAAGAACACCTGGGAGCTGTTTTACTGACTTCAGCTGTTGGTGAATTACTCCATGATGCTCTTGGGAGACTGGAAAGGACTTTTTGTGCATTGAGATTACAATTTTCTCTTTCATGGTATTCTGCTGCTCTAGGTAAGTGCTAGCTTTACCTATAACTACTTTGGCTGCTTTTGTCCATACAGCATTTTAACAGCCAATTGGCATTAGATTCTTCATTAAAGATATAATAATGAATAAAGGATAAAAGTATAACTTTAGAGGTTTAACCTAGCTGTATATTTAAAATGGCATAAGGCATTTAAAGAATAGCAGAAGACTAAGAAAAATATGACTCAGAAAGTATCCAGACTGAGTACACAATACAAGTTAATGGTTATTTTGAGCTGGCAGGGATATGAAGAAGTGGAGATCCCAAGACCTACACCAAAACTGGGGTTAATTTCAAATATTTCCGACTCACCTAGAAAGCAAACATGCAATAGCAGAGACATCCTAATTGGGAAATTATACATGATTGTGTAAAAGAGCCACAACTTTAAAAACAAAAAAGAACAAACAAATCAAAACCCTAAAGGAATGGACTGGACAAGATGGCAGCTGAAATTTAGTGTAGGTAAGTGTGAGGTAATGTGTGTTGAAAGGAATAGTTTGAATTATTCGTATACAGAGATGATTTGCAAAATCACTCAAGAAAAAGATCTAGGCGTTACTGTGGACAGCTTAATGGAAACTTCTACTCAGTGTGCAGTAGTGGTCAAAAAACAAACAAAGTGTCAGGCTATATTAAAGATGGGTTAGAGGCTAATACTAGAAATCATAACAAGACTATCAAATACATCAATAAAGTGTTCCTCATTTTAAGATTATATTATTTATCTTTCATTATCTGAAAAGAAACAGGTATAACCTGGAAAAGGGAATTAAAAGGGATTTGGGGTACTTCTATAAAGTGAAAGATTTTTAGAGGCTGTCAGAATCATCATGGCCTTCAAAGACAAAATACTTTCTCTAAACAACTTCTCTGCTCATCAGTTTGTAAACAAGGATAGCAGGATCCACTGACCTTTGCTATATATAGTGAGATGAATGGATGAAAAGTGGCATACAGACTGTGGATGAGCTGCTTTTGAGCATACAGCCTGAATGTCATTTCCCTGCATCTCCAGAGAAAAGGGGAAAGGGTCAATTCCTCACCGAACCTCTTCTCTGCTCTCCCTGGAGCCCAATCTGCAGGGCCTAATCCAGCACCACATTTTATACAGTTTAGGCTCATCTGATGCCTATACTAAGCACCTTTTATTCATTCTGTACCTACTCCTCAAATCCAGTTTAGCACCCTCACTTGAGATCTTTCCTCCTTTAATCCTTTCCTTCCCCTTGTGCCCTGCACATATCTGAACTATCCTCTGCTGTTTCCACAGTCTCACACCAGTTACCCCACTGCTCCAAACATGGCCTTTTAACCCACTTTCCCCTCACAGCAGGCACAACTCACCATCTTAGCTCCTTCAGTGTCTGCTGTCAGGATTATCAGCACTGTTGGATATGCATTAATTTGGCTCACCTGCAGTACCTGCACAGCAACCCACTTCCCCATGTTCTGCAGACCACCAAGAAGTGCATGATGATGTTGACATTATCAATTACTATCCATGGTAAATGAGAAAGAATGAAATCAGAGCTTAATTTATCACAGAGGACCCCTTCTCTCCCTCCCTCGCCTTAGAGTTATAGCATGCCTCAGTGCCTATACTGCTTAGGTATTAAGGCAGAAGGTTTCTCTCCTAATCATTTGATATACTAGATTCAAAGCTGTCCTGTGGATTATGGACAGTGATATACACCAACCTCTGTGGTTCCTAGGGTAAAGTGCTTGCTATAAATAGATGTCAGATTTGTAAATTTAACATTGTTTAGTCTGAGGGTAAGTGAGGAAAAAGGGAAACTCATTTGCTCAGCAGTGGGAGGGTGTGGAGTGTTGTTTTCTGCTGGGGAGTTTTATTTTTATTACTAAGCTCTTGAAATGTCAGAGCCTAGAGATGTCACAAGGTCTTTTTGCTGTTCTGGGCTGTGAAACCAGAAGGGGAAAACATGAACTGATGCAGTTTTATGTAACTTACGAATGTGTTTAGCATTTTCTGTGACAGTGAAGGCAGAAAATTTAACTGTTTCCTTTGTGAACTTTATTTTGTTTGTCTGGAATTTTGCTGTGCTCCAGCAGAACTGGCAGCAGCCTTGTCCAGAGCAGGACATTTTCCCATATAAGCAAAATAAATTCTAATTATAATAAAAACAGGAGGAAAAAAAAAAAGAAAATTTAAAGTTGTGCTGTAAAATGGCATTATTACCTCTTTAACAGGAAGCATATGGAATAGTAGTGTGCACATAGGTCTGAGAGCCAGGAATAAATCAGTGCTAGTCTAGACATGCTGATTCCAGCTGTGGTCCTGAAACAAGCTGTTAGGGCTAGAATTTGATTAAGTCTAATACCCATTTGGAGATGATGATGAACAAAGGCAGAATAGCACCATCCCAACAGAGTTATGCTAGAGGTACTTAGATGATTGCTAGGACATGGGAAGGAGAGCAAGGGCTACCCATTGTAATTCCCTCTAACAGTGACTGGATCCACAGCCAGTATAAGAAATCAGCGTGGCATATCCTATGGAATAGTGACTTATCACACTGCCACGTTCTCTCCACGACAGAAAAAGGAGGAGAGGAAATGTCTTTATTCAGTCCAGTTTTCCACTTCTTAGTATGGCCCTCACTCAGGATTTTGTTTGTGCTTTTTCCCCCACTGTAGCTATAACACTTAATTAACTAATATTTATAAGATCCCAGGAAGATGGAAAGCCTACATGTTATCTATTTAGGGTAATTACCTCACAAGAAACCATAAATAAATGTTGACCAGTGATGTAATTGCAGAGAGCAAAGAACTAGCAGTCTTAGAAAACCCTCACCAAAATAACTCCTCTCTCCTGCCTCCACTCCTGAAAACAGTGAATCTGTCTGAAGTGGTCTAATATGAATATTTGCACCTCCTTTACTATTATCTTATTTTCACACAGCAAAAGCATCCTAGCTTGTGCCTGTTTGCTTTAGCTTGATTTCTGCCATCTTCAGACAAAACTCTTCCTCCAGCTACACAGACTTTATTCACCAAAGAAAAACCTCCCAAAGCCCTTGCAGACCTTATGAAAGGCGTTTTCACTCACTTGGGTTAAATGAGCACTGTGTGTTTTCTTTCTCCTTTTTTTGGGGGGGGTGGGGGGAGAGGGAGGGAGGTGAAAAGTAATAAATGAATCATTTCAATTTTGGGTGAGAAGTTTAGGTGTTGTATTTATACCACGCAACTATATAAACACAGAACAAGCCAGTTAACCAATGAACTGCAGGAATGAGAAGCAATGAGATGATCTAAAACATTTTAACACATTTTCCATATATTAGCCCTTGGACTAGTTGTGTTTTGCTTTCTTAAAACAGACACAAGTCAGTAAACGTCCAGAAGGAAAGTCTGAGGTTTTACATTTCTGTTTGTGGTACAGGAAAAGGGTTACGATCTCAGTGGTTGATTCAGTGAAATAACATCTCTTTTATACACATCTGCCTAGCAAGTAGGGCGGTAGTTGGAAATACCCAATCTAAAGCATTAAAGATTTGCTGGCAAATAGCAAGGCATTTTCTGCAAAGGAAAAGTTGTTATACTGAGTAGTCACTTTGAATGCTTAGGAGTTACAGTCAAATATCCAAACACGGTGGAGTTACACTGCATTTATTATTTTGTCAAGTATTTAACACACTGGGAATTGACTCCGCTGCACATTTCATAACCAAGAAGGCATGGTAACAGTGGACTTTTAAGAAGAGACTTGGCAATGGTAAGTTATATTTTTATAGCAAATTATTTAGGCATCATGCAGTTATCTCTTTTTACATTTATAATTTTCAACTGGTTTAAATTAAGAATTTAAGAGGAAACAAATGAGAGGTAAAGCAGGGGTGTTTCACAAACTACTTTTTTGTTTATTTACTGTCATCACTGTTTTGTTTTTAAATGATATGAGAAATTTGAAGTAACAATCAGCATTATGACTTAACACAAAGATGCTTTGCATGGACATACCTTAATTTAGGACACTTTCATTTTGCTGCATATTTGTCCTATTTCTCCTGACACATATAAAAGCCAGTAGAGTGGACCAGAGTCTTATGTGAGTTTGTAGCTTTCTTCAGTTTTGGAGGCCTCTGTAAACTTGCAATATCAGAACACACAAAAGAAACAAAATCACAAATCAAATGATTCATTACTCAAAACAATTTTAAATCAACATAATCTCTCTGACTGGTAGTTAATTTTCATAAATAAGAATTATTCATTAATTTCAAAATGAGATGAAAAGAAGAGGGGATATGAGCTTATTGCTATTCTTTTTAGGTTTTGTTAAGCCCATTTTTTTCCAGAACTGTTTATAACCTTTGTACTCATTTCAACTCTGCTGTGTAACTGAATGGTTTATTCTTTAAATATTTTATTTTTCTTTAAAGAAGCAATGCAGAAAAATGCATTTCTCCATGAGAACTGGATAGGGGTAGTATCTAATCCTCTGAACACATATATATATTTCCAAACTATTCTAAAATTAAACATTAATATGATTATCCCCTACAGTTTCAGAGCATAGTTCTGACCAAGACATCCAAATGCAGTATTTACTTGAATCTCTGTATGAACTAGCCTATACAGGAAATCAGTAAATTGCTCCAGAGTCTCAGCCTCAAAAGGGATATGTATTTGTTTAGTCATATACTATAAATAACTTCTGTAGACTCAAAGCCTTGCCAGCATTATTAGTTCAGTGTTCACTTAAAAGTACCCTTTATTATGAGCCTCATTAGTAACTGATTTACACAGTATAAGCCTACAGGAAAAACATGCAGGCAAGCATAGCACACATATATTGATGTTGTATTATCCATATTGCCAGTGTAACCTCTATTGTGGTGCTAGTATGCTCTGAGTTGGGCAGCCCCTTGGGAGACACAGGATAGGGGCTCCTGGAGCACCGTTTGTTGCTCCTCTGCAGGGGGATTGCTGTTAGGGTGGAGGTGGGGACAACACACTCCCCTCTTCCCCCATTGTACCAGCCTGTGGCTGTGAACTGCTGACATAAAGCTGGGGGGGCTGCCAAATTGCTGCAATTTATGCTGAAGGACTGACCCAACAGATGATGGCCTCTTCATCACTTTTATAGCTCTTTGCTATTAGAGAGCACTGGTGATGTGATCTGCTGCTGTTATTTGCCTAGTGCTGTTATAATATTTATGCTATCTATATTACAGTATGACATACACTGTACACTATAAAATAACTTGCATGCTTTATCATGTGGAATAAACCTTGTATGCAATGGATTCTGCATAATACAAGATAGTTTGGGGTAAAATATCATTACTTGACATCAGCAAATTCTTATTTTTTTCCACGAGTAGCTGTTAATTATTTTGTTTATTGTCCCATTAAAAAAAAAAAACAAAACAAACAAAACTCCCCCAAAACCCAAACATTTAATTATCTTACAACATTTTTCATCAAGAGAAATCCCCATCCCACACATCCAAGAAAAAATGTGACAGCCACAATCAATTTTCATTGATGAGGACAAGGATTCAGAAGTGATGGAAAGTAAGCCTATCCACAGTCAGAACAGCAGGTCACTATCAGAGCTGGAAGCAGATCTTCAGACTCAGTACAGTGTTCTGCCAAAAAATGAGCTGTGCCTGACTGTTACTGCTTTATAGTGAGTGGTTTGTATTAGATGTGGTTGGTAAGGTTCAGTTATAGGTAACTTACGCCATCACCCAAGATTAAAGCTGAACTTAAACTGACATTGTCAAAATCTGAACATTTTTGTTATGCTCATTTAATAAATTTGAGTACAGAAATACTAAAAAACCCCTAAAAAAATACTAAAAAATCCCCAACTTTAAAACTCTGTCCTTGTATGCATCCCCCAAAAGTGTAGGTACTCTCACCTCCTGAATGTGTGAGTCAAGTCTTTTAAGATTCATTTCCATGAATTAAAAGCCAAAGTTTATAGTAATTTTAAAAGATATTGAAGAAAAAGGAAAGAAAAGGAAAAAGGAAAACCTAGGTTATGTTGGTGGTGTCATAGTTGTCTTAGAGCATGATTTTGGACAACCACTTGGAACTTAAATTCCAAAAGAGATTGTTTCTTTTCAGAAATCCAAAAGGAGATAATATTAATTATTCTACAGAAACTAGTAGAAATTTGACCTCCCTGAGCACATGATTGCTCCCACGTCAGTGGCTACTCCCAGGACCAAGCTTATGGGAATACATGGCATTGTGAGATCCTCAACATGCTCTTTTAAACATTCACAGACATACTAGCTTTTTGTGCATATCCAGACAGCCTTTTCCAGATAGTCAATTCACAACACAGCCGTGTCTCTGGAGGCAATCTATCACACAATTGAATCATGTAGCTGCTCATTCCCTGTTTCAGCTGCAAAATGAATATCTGTCATCTGAGTAACACCAATTTCTTATGGATGAAGGTATTTGTCCTGGTTTCAGCATGATAGTATCCCTTCCACTCCCTGATGCTATTGAGCTTAATTACTTACTATCTGGTAGCCTTGGACTACAAACACTGTGGTCCTAACAGTTATTTTAGCCAATATTTAAATTGAGGTCATTGCAAAAAACCCAAAGCAACCAAATATTAACCCATAAAATAACGTTCTTTGGTGCCTCCTGCCCCATGGTCTCCCTTCCTTATCTTCAGAAATGGTGCTGAAGTAGTAGTGCCAAGCAGTAATAGTCAAGCTTTTTTGACAGACACAAAAATAAAGCAAATGATTACCAGGACACAGCAATTTTTAAAAGAAATGGTAACTAATCTGTGTAACAATCTGTCTGAGGGTGTAGCAAATTTTAAAGATTAGTGGAATAATGCATTTACATTCAGATTTAATGCTTATTTTAAAATATATGCTTCAGCTGGGGCCATCAGTACAGGAATTAGAGGTTAATTTTGCCTTTGACAGGTCACTTAGACTAGCTAATTACAGCTACTTCTGGACTTGAAACCTGAATTCTGTAGAAAAAAACAAAACCCAAGATCAGGAATTCTCAGGTGAGGTCTCTCAGTCACTACCTCCAAGCTATCTAACATCAGGTACAGCTCAGAAGTTGCAGGCTGATTTCAAAACATGGAGGAAAAGTCATCTCTGAAGACACTAGATCCTAGACTGTTTAGGATGCTACAGCTGACTCCAGCACCTATTCACACCTATGAGAGTGTCATCAGATCTCCTGAAGCACAAAACCATTTTCAGTTTGTGTCTTACCAGGGAGCTATTTATGTGATAGATTATACCATTTCACTTATGAGAAAGACTTCCTTGGTTCAGAGTTAAGCAACAGCCTGTATTGAGTAACTTTGCCTCTGCTGGCACTAGGAATGACAAATAATCAGAATTAGCTACTGCTAAAGCCTTGCAAGTTAAAATGACAACTGTACTTACAATGTGGTAAAGTCATCTTATTCAGGCATAGATATCCAAGAGACTGCATAATTCATCAATCACTGGCAGTACTATTTAAAAATAAACAAGCAAACAAAACCACCCAACCAAACCTCAAACCCAAAAACTCCACTACAACCCCCTCAAAAAGAAAACCAACCCCAAACAAAACCAAAACTGCACTCAAACCATCAAGTCCAGCAAAGCAAGACAGGACTGCATGCTATCTGTGAAATACTAAAGGACAACAGACCCCCAAGGTCAGTAAGACCAAGATCAGGCTTCTGTAGAAAGTGGTGCCTGTACCAGAGTGTAAAATATGGAGCTAATTCTGCCACTGGTACTCAGATGAACTAAACACATTCACCTCTTTAATACTGCCATTCATTCATATCTGGCTGTTCAAGGAGTAAAGGAGGAGGCAGTAGCAATGAATATGACAGAATCCAGCACAGACTCACAATCAAATGTAAAACCAGACAGGTCCAAATGCACCTTTTATACTGAAATCATGAAAAATACAGAGAAAATCTTCATATGACATTTTTATGCAGAGTAAGTTCATTTTTCTTTGCCCTTTGCTTTTTTCCTGATAAATCATAATTTTGGCAATTGATAATTCTCCTTTCATTCAACTTAAAGGGCCCCTTATGTCAGCCTACAGTTCAAGGAATCATAAATCAAAAGGAATGCAAAGTCAGATGAAAAAGGAACAGCATGTGACTGGAAACGTGGAGAGAAGAGGTAAAGTCATAACTTTTAAAAATATTTGTCTTAAATTGGAATGACACCATACAGGGAAGTTCACATAATGTTTTTACTACTCTGGTGCACAGTTATAAACTGTGTATTGGTCAATGGCTTTTAAGAAAATGATGGACCTTTTCTTCAGTACCAGATACTTAGCAGCTTCATAGCTGACATAAATGTTCTGTCATGTTTCTCTAAGCCCAAGATAATCTCTTACATGTAGTCTATATACCCAATACAAAAATAATAAAAAAGCAAACACAACCCACAACACTGTTAAAAAGGTTCAATTATTGCTGCACCTCATACACTGCACCATGGCTACAGTCAATGCTCTTTACACTTATAGTGCTGTCATTTTTCAGTCACATGCTCTGAACACAGTATTTATGTAGATGACATGGGCTCCTTTATCTGCAAACAAAGCATTGCATGTATACAGTAACATATTCTTCACAGAGTTCTAGGATGTGTTCTCAAGATGAGGTAAATATACATTTTGATGGATGTACACTCAGACCCTCTTCCATGGAAGTATATTAACAAGATACAGCTTATCTCTAAGGCATTGCAACAAGTAAGGACACCAGAATACGGTTAGTAATCAGTGTGAGCGCAATGTCATGCAACACATGTTTTTGGAAAGATAAGGTCTAGGAACTCTTATGAAGTCACAGGAAAGCAGTTCACTGGAAAACAATCTAGAATGCTGTAGAGTGGGACACCATTATGAAAGAGTCAGGTAATGAAGTTCACAAAAGGAAGTGGATTTTAAAAAATGGATCTGAAGGAGGAGGAGATCCAACCATATGAAAGCAGCATGAAGCTGAGAGAAAGGAGGGGCAAAAGAAGAAAAGATAAAAGCATGTAGAAGATAGAAGATGATGTCAGTACAGAGGTCAGTGAGAGAAGGATTTGATAGAGACTTGAATATCAGGATATTTTTCCTAGTTGTTGTACTAGGAATAAATCTTGGAGGCAATGAATTTAAAACGATTAAAAGGAAGTACATTTTTAGATAACACATGAAACTCATTGCCTCTGGATACTCTTGAAATCAAAATCTTAATGGGAGACAGAAATGGATAAATTACAGTTGCATTACACAGGATTCATTTCATCTTTAGAAGAAAAAAAAAAAAAAGAGTCTTCCTGCTTCCTGGCAAAAGTTAGGTACTAAGTGATGAAAGGATTTAGAAAGCGATTTACCTAATTTGACATAATGCAATACTTATCCATTATGAGGCAGCTGTAGCTTCTGCTAAAACAAGGCTATCCAATCATAATGTAAAAAGCTCCAACAATTTTGGAATATGTACAAAACCTCAGAGTGCCAGCCTACTGTTACCAACAAGGTTCTCAGAAGAAAATCTTCCTGAAAGCAAGCTCTCTACTACCTTTTTCATTTTTTTACAAGGTAATCCTTTTGAAGCAATTACTATTAGCAAGAAGGAGAAGGATACTGGATTAACTGTGCTCATAGGGTGACTCAACGTGCCATGTTGCTATGTTTTGATGGATGGAAGGGCAGAGTGAAAGCTGCAAAACCCAAGGCAGTGATGACTAATCCAGTCCTGGCTTAGCAGCAATGAGGAGATGGACTGTCCTGTGCGACATAACTGTTGTCTGGAATATGGCAAAATGTGAAATTTGTGACTGAGTTTAAGTCAAAAGTAATTAATCAGCTTGCTGAGTAATGTAAGGAAAGGACAAAAACTAGAACACTCCAAACTACTGGCTTGCTTTCCTATTAATACAAGTAATATTCGGAGCTGGGTGGAGATCAGGACCGAGGCTAAGTGCCATCATTACTTAGGTTTGCTTTGCCCAGTACTAATGTTCTGTTTAAATTTATATGCTCCTTTTTGGAAAAGGTTATCACCAGTAGCAACAGGCAAAATATTTAGTACTGAATAGCCTGCATATTTGTCCACTAGAATCCTAACCTTTAGATATGGAAAATAACTTGGGGAAAAGAAGGATCAGCTCCTGTGTCTGTTATGGTTCCAGGCACATCCTGGTTTTAGTCAGACAAAAAAGAGCAACTGTCATAAAGAATATATTCAGTGGCTCCTCTATTTCCTTCTCCCACCTCCAATAGACACTAACTCCAGACATCAGAAAAGTTACTCCATTTTATGGTAACTAGTACCTTATCCCATGGCAGAAGTATCACTCTACCTGTGAACAGTACTGTTTGACTTTTATTTTGAATCAAGAGTTGCTGCCCCTTCTGCATACTATTCCCTTTAACTACAGATATTTCCATCAACTCACGTCTTTGGGTGAAATCTCTGTCCAACTGAAATCAAAGGCGAAACAGCTAACTTCAAAGTGCCCATGATTTCTGCTATATTCTTGTTCCACATATTAATTCTGCTCTAGGTTTTAAGTACTTCCTTTTATTTGTTTGAACTCTCTTCATTTTACTGCATTCTTATTTTCCCATCCCTCACATGAGAAGGCAGTAAAGAAACCCAGCTGCTTTTCCTTATAGTACCTAATATCTCATAAACCTTTATCTATACAGCTCCTTTCTGTAAAGGAGAGTCCACATAATTTCAATCTTCTAATACAAAATTCCAGCCTCTGATAGTGTTCATTGCCCTTTTCCTGGTACAACACCTTAAGAGCTGAGTAGTGAAGATTGACCACAGTATCCAGTATCAAAGCATACCGTTAATGCAACATGGCAGGCACAGCAGAGGTTCTCTCTCTCCTTTTCCTTATGGCTTCTAAACCCCTGCTTTTCTGTTCACCACTGGGCACTGAAAAATTACTGTACAGAGACGATGGAAAAAACTGCAAAAGGTTAGAGTGAAACAACATGAAAAATCTGCCCCTCCTTGTGATATTTATGTTTCTGCTCCTAGCCCTGGCTGAGGTCCAAATTCTGAATGAACAAAACTCCCAGTGGCTTAGGCACTACAGTATTCAGCCCATAGTCAGGAAATGCAATAGCATGTGACAATGGGAGGGAATAAAAAAAAAGAAAAAAAAAAAAAGAAAAAAAAAAGCTTTCCAACGCTTTTGAGCTTCCAGCTCAATCAGTTTGGATCAAAACTCAGGACTGTTGAGATTTTCTGTGAATGAGTTCTCTATTGCTAAACAAAAACACGTGTGTGCTACAGTGTAAGACAGTTAAGTGGTAAACAGTATGTGGCTTTGCTTCCTCACTGATATTTCATTTGTACAGTACTAGCACTATAAAACCTCTTTTTATGTACAAGGCCACTGTTGTCTCTCTTTAAATACAGTGAAGAATTCTTTCCCAAAACACAAAGTCAGCTCCCTACTTCTCCTCCTTTCCAGAAAAGCTACTTGATAACTTGTTGGCTACTCAGTGTCTTCTTCCTTCTACAAGATTAGAATTTAAAGGAGTTGGGTAATGCTCTATGTTTATTGTCATCCAGCAACCCAGGCTAAAACTGTTCTTTATGACAGTTTTCCTTTGGGGAACTAATATCATGAGAACATAACTGTTGGGATAATAGTGGCAAACTCTCTTTTTGTAAACACTTAACATACAAATTAGCCAATTTTTTTCAGGACAGAGTGTTTCAGGGCTCCTGCAGACACTGGGCAGAGCAGAGATTTCATCTTCACTTTTCCTCCCAGGACATACATCATTCTCATGGGGCTGATGCTCGTATTCACAGTCCACATTTTATCTACAAGTCACAGGGCCACTAAACATGAGACCATATCAGTGCAATATTTTAAACGTATTTTATAATTTCTCTCTCTCTTTTGCAAGTTTAGTGATAGTCCAACAGATCCAGGACCTTCAAGTCACAGAACACATAACGCAGGAGGTGTCTTAAGCACTTTCCTCTTGACCATTTCCATGACCAGATAGGGCCAGGTGTAAAATTCAGGTTTCTGTTTACATTTTCCTGAAAAGTATAGTACTTCTAGTTTGTGAGGACATTCCAAAGGGGACTCATTATTTCAGTAAACTCTTTCAGAGACAATTGTATCATTTATGGATCTTTTTTAATTTGAGAGTAACAATCTCAGTAAGTACCTTATCACATAAATTCATTGAGAGAAAGTAGGTTTCTGAAGCAAGATTTTATTTGTCAGTGTGAACAGAACTCAAGATTGACAGCTGGAGACTGACTAGGGACATGGCGGAAAGGTGGCTGCCTACTTCCACAACTGATGGTCGGTGCAATTCAAGCAGTATTTCATGGGGGGAGTTGTTACAGCAGTAGAATAGACTGTGAACCATTTACTTTATAGCGAATAAAAAGTGTAATTGAGGCAATGTGGAATCTGTGAAATAGTTCTTATTTCCTGGATGCTCTATGGAAAAAACCCAATATTGAGTCCTTGATCAAGTTGTATCACAGAACTGCAGTCTAGCCCATAAAGGGGAGAATTGGTAGGTTTAAAGGTCCATGCCACTTCATGGTGAACAATACAAGGGCTTGGCATTCAAAAGTGCCTCCTGCTTTGTTTTGCTACTGGAGCAGAAGTGGTCTATGAAATTCTTACCAGCTTAAAATATCTGCTAAAAATTATGAGAAACACGTTTGCCATCTCGGCCTCCAGCAGGAAACCCTGCACTTGATTAGCACAGATTCTGGCTGCCCCCCTATCCTACCCCCAAGTAGGTTTCACATGCCCGAACCCCATCAATCGTAGAATCAGTGAGCAATGGGTAAAAACAAATGACACAACCTCCTTAAATGGTCTTTTCTTCTCTGGGTAGCTGGGACCCTGCTGGAAACAGTTTCCCCAATACTGTATCCCATTGCTTTTGTTTATCTATCCTTGCTGACATTTTCTTCAATTAGGAAACAATAGCTCCGTTCCAATGTACTGAGCAGAATTACTGAAACTGAGTCACGTGGCACCACGAGAGTGTGTTTTCAATTATTCACTCTGTCTTTTTTTGCCAGGCCTATGAAGAGGAACAGCCTTCTGCAGGAGTCAGGTTTGTCTGCCTTGCTGTTGTAAGTTCCTCCTTTTGAATTTTTATTTTAGGATTAGGTATTTTTTAATTTCTCTTTTTTTAAATTTTATTTTTTTTAACAGTCAATTCAACTCTCCAAGAGCTTCTTTTTATTAGAAAACTTCCAAATCTCTAGCTCTTCCTACTGCCTGGAAATCCTAGACATCTGCAATAGTTCAGTGCTAATAGTACTGTTCAGTAATGAATCTGACAAAGATCATAAGATCTAGATTAAAGTGGGATGTAAGATACCGTGCTGTTAGCACTTGGTAATGTAAAACTCATTTAGTTCTTGCTAGTCAATACAAGTTCTATCTTTCCTACTGTCTGGTTAACAGTATTCAGTCTGGGAGCTACACCAAAGTATTTGCATCTTGTAAATGCTTCGTTCAACATCCAACCAAAAATTTAAACCAAATGGGCACAGATCAAATAATGTATTTTGTTTGCAGAAGACAGACTGAGTTAGGGCTTTTTAGACTTGAAGCTGGAAAAATAAAGCTTGGGGAAAAAAAAATATAAAAAAAAAAAACAACAGAGAAGGAACATTTGGTTTGCATTACAAACCACAGACAACTTCCATCAGGCATGCTGGAGGTATAAGAATGGCAAAAGAAAATGACAAGCAGTGAGTGCACTGGAGAAAAAGATGAATGTTTTGGAGAACTGACTTTGAAGTAATTGTCCGTGCCATCGATACCTTGAATTAAATTTTGTGGAAGATGGAAATGAATTATAAAGATTCTCTGGCACTTGCAATATTATTTTCTGTATAAAATAACATTTCTGGATATTTTTATTGGAAAACTTATAGACTATGTTTTTGGTACCTCCTATATTTCTTCCACTTATGCAATCCTGAATCAGCAGCTCTGGAAAGGATGTTGCCTTAGTTAAGACTTGGGCTGTGAACTAATACTTCAGAGCAAGAACAAGTATTTAACTGGAAGTCTTCAGGTCTACTGCGTTTATTTTCACCTCAGCCACTGGCTTGCTTTAAGATACTAGGTAAGTCATTCAGGGTTAAACTTGGTCTTTGAGCTGATGGAACTCTGTTGGGGGTAGGGAGGAGGAAACAGTTGATGCAGCAGGGCAAGAAAGACATTCTCTCTGCACAAGGTGAAATTGCTCAAGAGCATTGCATGGGGGTAAGATGGCAGAATGCACTTAAAGCAATGTTTCCTTCACTGTTTCAACAGGTGCTTATATGTGTTCCCTCCATCACAGATACTTAGCATAGTCAGAGAGGCACCCCTTGGAGTATTTAGTACTGATGGCAGTGCTTCCTGTTTAAGCTCAGCAGCTTTAGGCAGAGCAAGAAAGGACTACTGCATCTCTCCATCCTTCATTCTAGCATGCTGATCTCCAGAGAACTGTATTTTGACCATTAAGCTATCAAGTCTTCTGCTTACCCATGTGCTTAATAGTTGTTTTCTAATTATTTCTCTTTGGGGAAATAAGAGCAGTTAATGCTTGTACATAATTGAAATCCTTGAATGAAAAGCGCTTTTTCTTATAATTTACCCCTGTAGGCAAGTTTGTTTAGGTCTGAATGTGCAGCTTGGGCTCATTTCTGATGTTCTTATTGCTAGTGTCTAATAGCAATCACCAGAATCAGAGAAGAAGCATCGATTCCTATTGCAGATTTTCAAGGGATGTGTATTCCAGACACCTTTAGCAAGTACCTCCTTCCCCCCCCCCAGGTTGCTGAGGATAGGTGCTTGCAGAAGTTTCCCTTGCCCTAGCCGTCCTACTGCTTTTTGAACTCCACATTCTGGACTAAGGGGCTAGATTGCATTTTTACCTACCTTCAAACATACATGGAAAACAATATCAAGCTCTACAAGGTTAATTTCCTAATTCACTGGGAAAATTAACAGGTTTTCCCAACACAAAATTTGCAATTAGGTACATACATATAAAAGACAAAGCTCTAGGCTTACCAAAACACTTAAAAAGTATATTTTTTTAAAAAAAGAAATGAAGAAAATCTCCAAACCTTGAAAGTCTACATATTAGTAGAGATAAGTGTCAGTCAGATTTTAACTAATCAACAAAAAAAAAAAGCATACAAAGAATTGTAAACTTGTGATGCTGAATTATACCACCAACAACTACTTATTTCAGTTCTCAAAATTATAGTTCTAATATAACTCATAGCACTTCTCATCTCTGTACTTCAAAATGAATTATTACATAGAGGCTCTGAAAAATAGGTTCTCTCAACAGTGCAGCAGGGAAGAGCAATCTTGGAGAAATAAGATTCAACATGAACCACAAAGCCCATGTGTTAAAGCTGAGCTCCATCTATATCATACCTTTCCCCATTCCCTCTGACCACTGTGTCCTTACACTTGGGTTCAGATGTCCTTTTATTCAGCATGTGCTCTAAGTCAGAAGGGAGCGTGGCTGTGCTGTTGAGCAGTCCTTCATCCACATAGTGGCTACATTCAGCCATGGTTGCAAATCTTGTTATTCATAAGTAGAGACACTGATAAAAGAAGTAAGTACAACATTCTATGTACTGAAGGGAATGGAGAATATGGTAGCTCAGTTTGACCCTGAAAGCTTCCCTCATGCAAGTGAGGGTAAAGGTGGGAGCCCAGTGAATTCAGTTCCAATGTTCCTATCCAATGGGGTTCGACTCTCCCACAGGAGCAGAGGGGATCCCAAAGACACACAGGACAAGAGCAGAAAACACACCAGCTTGTGGAATGTGATATGTTCTCTGGATACTTTCAGACTTGAACTTTGCCCTGGAATAATGTCCTGCTGGGAAATTCAATGACTTCCAATACTCAGGGCACAAGTTTCTAAAGTGTCAGGGATTTGGATAAGAGACAACAGGGAGCAGAGAATATTAGGACTGGTATGATGGGAAATACATTATGATGGAAGGCTGCAGGATCATTACCTATCAAAAATACCAGAAAGAACTGCATAAACATCTTTTTTCCTTGGAAGATGAAGGGTTCTCATTGCTGCTCCTCATTGCACACCTAAAAAGCTGTGTGCAGTTTGTTTTTTTTTTTACAAATTCAAATGGCTTCACATTCACACTGAATTGTGTCTTTCCAGCAATACCATAAAACTCCCTCAGACAGGTACTCAGTGGCATAGTATTTATAATCTGTTTTTGTTTTCCTCATTACTGGGAGGAGGAGGAGGAGAGTAGGGGAGGAAATAATATTGCAGATTTATTATAAGGTTGGCTTGGCTTTATGATATGAATCTGGCTTGGTCAGAACTTGCAGGCCTCTTTATTGTTGTAAGAATCATTTAGAAAATCTGCTGTCATTTATTTCTGCATCACCAGTGGCATTTCAAGTACATAGTGCTTACATACCTACTTAATTCTGCATAAAAGCAGAAGAAACGGCCAAAACAAACACAACAATCCAGTTTGGAGGACAAACTTCTCTCAATAGTATACCTGAAAAGTGTTTTTCAAATTACATGGATCTTCAATTTTGTATATAACAACTACAACACCTTTGATTTATGCAAATCCTTAAGTTTAAAGAGGCATTTTTTCTGGAATGGCAACATACAGTATCAATTATGTACTGCAAAAACAATAAGAATGTGCATGTAATAAACACGATAATAAAAATTAAGTTAGAAAGTCAAAGTAATTAATGTAGGCTTCTTCTTGCTGAATTTTCAGCACTGACATATCTACCAAAATATTTCCAGAAAAAACTTTTCTGAGAGAAAAACAAACAGTTTAACAAAGCTCCCCTTTGTTATCTTAACATGCTCATTACTTACAAAGGCTCCAACTTTTGCCATATTTTGATTAAATAGTATTTCTTCAGTTTTCTTTTAATTTTGTATGCTGAATCATACGTTGAAACAGACCATTTGTAATGGGACACTTTCTGATTGATATACTGGAGCTGTATTCCTTTATAGAGTTCAATCCCTAATCAGATATTCACATCTTAAGTGCTTCACTGGATCTCTCTGTTACTGTTAAATGCACGGTCTTAAGTGAGGTCTGGTCTGCAAAGGTAGGAGTTTTATAGCAGCCTAACATTCCTTATTCTCTCATGCCTAAGATCTACTTTTGCTAAACCACTTACAAATCAGACATGCCAGGCAAGGAGCTTAACCTCAACAATTTGATTAATCTTTGAATTGCAGTTGTTTCATGAATCAAACTTCAGAAGGAGCTTCCTCTTTCCAAATAATATTAGGAGGATAGGGTAATGCTTTTAAAGTGTCTTCCTTTTCAATTTGGGATTTCAACATGCATATTCAGCAGAAGCCCAAAGCAAGCAGCACAATGGAAACATGAAAAACATATATTAAAAGCACTTCATTGTGCTTGGGGAGCATGGAAAGAGAATGGAAAGGTGAAGGAGAATTTAGTAGAGCACTGCACAGAAACAGAATTAGCAAGTCATAAGATATCACGTGGCTGTTAGCAGACTGAAAGGCTCTGTTGATTCGATTTATTCATTAGGGCTTTTCAGTAGTGTAGGTTATTAAGTGGGAGAAAGTGGGGTATATTACAACTTACTTTTTATATTTCCTTTCCTGGAGGATATTTAGCACCAGAGAAGCAGAGAAAGTTTTTGAAACTATCATGCCTCATAAATGGGAGAATGATAGGAAAAAGAGCAGCACTACCAGCTCTCTGAAGATGGATCGAAAGAGCAATGCTGGGAACAGGAAATCAAGAAAGTTTCGCTCCATTTCAAGATCACTTATACTTTGTAATGCCAAAACCAGTGATGACGGGTCAAGTCCCGATGAGAAATACCCTGATCCCTTTGAGATCTCTACCAGCTGGGGTCAGGAGGACTTTGACTGCTGTCCTAGAACACAAGTGCCATGCACATCAGAGACAGAAGACAGCCCACCTGATCCTCCACGCGTGATCACCAGCACAGTCCAGTCCAAAGCTGCAGCAAACGAGAGCTGCAACAACATGAGAAGAAAGTTACTCACTAAGGTAGGCAATTTGGTGCAGTATATTGTAATGTTTCCCCCTGCAGCAGCTCCTAAATGGATTAATTCATACTTTGCAGG